CCAAGGGGTGGGTTATGCTCACAGCTTTGAGCGCCCACTTCGGTCACTGCCCGAAATCTACGCGAACGGCAAATCAACTCGACATTCACTGCTCCAATGGGGCAAGTCAAGAACGATTGGTCTGTGCAGATGTCGTGGAAGCAAATGATACGGCTATGGACGGAACAGCTTTTCCCTTTCCACATCGGGCTATCACCGGTCAACGGCGTTTGTTATGCAATATGACTAGCCGCACAAATCACATTACTCTGTGGTCCATGGCTAAGCCTAAAAGGATGCCTTGTAGGAAGAACACAGCACGAGAATCGTCACAGGATACGCCTGTTGCCCACAGAAGTGTGAGAACACTATAACCCATAATCCGGGGACGGACAATCAGCAACGCCACAGTTCCGCGACATGTGGATGCTGTATTGATTTCACAGCACCGACCCCGCCCTGGATGGGCATGGCATTTGCACAGACTGGCTTCCAGGCTGGAAAAGGGCCATACAACCTGGATGTTGCCAACTTGAACATGGCCAATGCTCCCATCACCTTATTTCGCTCGAACCCTTTGTTAACCAGTCGTTGCTTTTGGGATGCTGGACCCAAAGCCAAGTGAATATCTGCCCCTGGGAGCTGCAGATTATTCGTAACTTGTGTCAGCTGAACACAACAGCTGGCACTAGACATGCCATTTAAGTGAGTTGTCGTAATCCTCTCCTCAGGGCTAGCTAAGGCATCGGCTGCAGCGCTGAGACAAACAATGACAACGCACTCAACATTGGCATTTCTCGGGCGCTGTCTCAGGCATGTTTTTGGAATCACGAGCGAAGCCGGTCACGCCTCACGATCCGTCTTGTTGTCAGGCCCGATGCGAATGACTCCAGAGACACGGCCTTTGTCTATGACAGTTTCGCTCAGCTGATTAGTGTTCAAGAATACCGACTGGACGGGACCTTGGGCAACTCCAGCAAAAAAAATAAAATAAAATAAAACTCTGTTTCTCAGCCCAACCCTTCCGGTGTTATCGCTGACACCCGCCACTCGGAGAGCCGGGGCCTGTTGACATGACGGACATTTCAGCATCCGCAGGATCTCGTCATACTTGTTCCCGTGTCCGATCAAATGAGACTTTCCAAGACAAACGCCCAGAAACTAAAGTCGGGCATCGTGGCCCTCCGGCCTTGTACGGGACCGAGTCTCGGTTCCTTGATTGTGGTGGCAACTGCTGCCAGCACCTATGAGGGCATGCAGGGCACGGTATATTCGCAGGACCACAGCTCCGGGATTCCCTTTGGCTATGGACGGCCCAAAGACGCACGGTCATGGTGTGATCGACTCATTGTTCTGCTTTTCATTCGAGAGCAGCACGCAGGGTGGGCGTTTCTTGGAACTAAATGTTGAGGCCACCTGCTGGCGCTGATCTCATCTGCCACACTTGTCAACGTAGGTGGCAGGGCCCGGAATGCTCTGCAAAACATGGTCACGACCAACCAGCCCCCGCTGATCTGGCTGAGCAAGTCACATTCTATTGATGAATGCTGCTGCATGTATAGCGTCTTTTGAGTAACTGACGCACCAACGGCTGCCGCAGTCGTGCTCTTCTCCATAAAGTGAGGGAGGCTTGGGGGGGGGGGGGGAGCCAGGGGGCCAGGGGTGGGAGCCTCAATTTCGGGGTCTTCGTGTTGCCCCTGCAATCTGGGGGAACGAGAAGGATTTCGATGTTCTTCACTTTTTTTTTCCTTCTTCTTTCTCTCTCCTGCATCGGTGGTCACGAGACCAGCCCCTTTGTATGCCTGTAAGCTTCACCATACTGTCTGGCTTATCTCGAGCAAATCCGAACAAAACACGCTTCTCGCCATGATACTTCTTGAGGCTCCTTTCCGCACCAGCGAGCGTTCCAAGTAGTGTCGTGGAGCTTGCTACCGTGCTATGTTGAACATACGCTACCGTACGGGGCTCTCCCGCCGCTCCCTCCCGCTCCCCCCTCCTTTTTCTCTCAGTGAGCGCTTTGCTTAGCCCTCTAGCGTAGTAACACATTCTTTCCCATCCCGCGATGTGTGTATGCTGCAACCCAACGTGTGCACGCGAAAAGCGTGGGCATAATTATGGGAAATATTGAGGTCACTGTTCACAGGCAAGATGAGATGAGATGAGATGGGTGTTTTTTTGGGGGGAAGGGGGCTTTACAGAGTGTTGGGCTTGGGTAGATAGTGGATGGAAATGAGGTGTGGAATATGAAGCATCGTGATCTTACCAGGAGGAGGGATTTTGAGAACTCGGCTTGGTGTAGGGAAGTTTGTCGTCTTGGAAGGAAGGTGCATAAATCTGTTGAATCCAAATAAAGGAATTATTATTTTTTCCCCACATCCCTTTGCTCATTCTTATTATTGTTCCTTGATAAATTTTTTTTCTTGCTCTTCTCTTACTTACTTACACGCCTTGACTCACTGTACTACTACTGCCTGCAGCACCGGAATGAAGTCTTTTTCTCCACAACCAATATGCGAAACTTCGATTCCGTCTTGTCTAACTGTCTATCCCCCCCCTTTTTTTTCTCCAAGTACCCAGGGACCCACTGGTTTCATCTATCCATTTATTTTTCCCAACCGTGAGAAGAAAAAACCCAAGAGCATACATGCTAAGCAGGATAGACGTGAGCAAAGCATCAAGTAGTCTGATAAACTCTCACAGCAATCTATCCATGCAAACCAAGCTCCAACATATCCCATAACCAAAAAAAATCCCACAAGGTCTACAATGACAAGATATCACGTGACAAAATGGAATATCCATTTAATTGCAGACCCCCGCGTCCAACCACAGCAGCTTAGCATGAAACCACGTGATCTTGCTAGAAACTCCATAGTATGGGAAGTATATTTAATCGCTAGTAAGCCGTACTAGTGGTGCGTCTCGCAGAATAAAGTACAGATACATACTAGTAATATCCAAGACTACTATGTATACTGTACTGTTCTACCCTGGATATTCTCACACTTGACCCATGTGTACAGAAAACACTAACTGGCTACCTACGCACGAAAAAAAAAGGTGGATAAGAGATACTGCGATAAGCACTGTATCATGCTATTCCCTCTTCATCTCTACACGCATTGCAAGGAGATAAACAGCAGGAAAAAAAAACAACAGAACATGTAGATTCCACTACTTGCACCCCCTTTCTTTCTTTGTCTCTCTGGAAAACACGAGGATAGCATGATTATTGCACATGTGCACTATGTACTATCTCCATTTTTGTTTACCTCTTCTCTCTTTCCCCCCCCCCTTTTTTTGTTGGTTTTTCTTTCCCATACTTTTTCTTTCAGCATGATAAATGTTTAAATCACAAATCCACTTCACTATGTACATATGTAGCACAGACAAAACTCCGTGCTACTAAAGATACAAATACCCAGCCTTGACTTATGCATGGCAAGAAATCAAATACAACAGATACTCAAGTTTGTGACAATAGCTAGAGAAATTTCTACTTGGTCTGGCATCCAGCTTTATTCTCTATTTACTGGTTAATTGGATGCAGATAAAATAACAGTTTACCAAGTATAACCCCTTACCTCTCGATTTCTTTCCCGTCTTTCTCGCTCTATGTATCATTCATACTTCAAAAGACACAACCTTGAGCAAATAAACAAGAGAAGAAAGAAGAAGAAAAAGAAGAAG